TTTTCCTACAGGTTGTCCTAACAATTTTAAAACTATTTTTATTTTAAACATTTTTTTGGGATACCATGTATTTGATTTTTTTGTTTTTCTCTAAAAAAATTCCAAACAGGTTGTCTCAACAATTTTGCTATATTTTAGTTTAAAAAATTGGGACGCCCTGTAACCTATTTTTTGCTTTTTCCTTAAAATATTTTTCTACAGGTTGTCTCAACGATTTTGCTGCATTTTAATTAAATAAAAAAAATATTTGGGACACCCTGTAGCCTATTTTTTTCTTGTGTTTCCTTAAAAAGGTTTTTTATTAAAAAAACAGGCTTAATGTATTTAATTATTATTCTTTTTCACTTTTTTTAACATTCTTTTATTATTATTTCCAGACTATCCCTGCAGTTTCTGTGTTTATTCATCTGATCGAAATTATTCTCAAGATCCATATTTAGCTCATAATAACACCCCCATCTTTACGTAAATTAAGTTTATCTCTATTGTTTTTTAGTATCTATATATTTTAAGATGATTATTTTATTTGAAAAGTATTTAATAAAGTTTTACTTGTTTTCTTTATTTGTTAAATTTTGCTTATTTTTTCGGCACAGTTTTGCAATTGGGTTCTTTTAAAAGGCGAATTAAACTCAAAAATATTAATTATATTGTATTCTATTTCATTGGTGCTTAGATCTAAAGAATCATAAAATAAAAGAAAACGATCAATTAAAAAATGACAAAGATAATGAAAGCAGGCGCGATAATTCATAAAATACAAACAAACTTATATGTATTGATATAGAAACCCCCTGTATATCAATTTTTTTTTTTTATTTGCCCAGACTCTTAAAAGGGGTGGTTCGGCTCTAGAAATATTCAACAAAATATATTTTTTATCAAATTTAATATTAAAAAAAATTAAATTTTAAATTCTTCAGTCTATCTTCTCTTCCCGTTAGCTCCTTCTCTCCACTTGCCTCTACCTGTTCTTCCATCAAACCAACCTTCTTTCCTCCTCGCAAGTCCATCTAATATATTGCTTTATCTTATATATAACTTTAATATAATGTATCACTTTTATCTAATATATCACTTTTAAACTTTCACCACTTTTAATACTTTATATTCCACGTCACACTTGTCTTTTAATGTTACTTTCCCCCTACTTAAATTCCACCCATATTTCCTACACTTTATATCCTGTCAATGTACTCCTCCTCTTATCTCCTAAACCATACAAACATCACACATATGCAATATATTCATCCTCTCTTTATAAAAAAAAAATATCCCAAAATCAACAATTCAAATAGAAAAAACTATAAACAATCTTACCAATTTCCTTCCAAATTCCAAAATTACAAATATCCAAAATTTTGATCTCCCTCTAGAAATAATGCTCCACGTTGGCTGGCGACACTTGATATAGAAACCCCCTGTATATCAAATTTTTTTTTATTTGCCCAGACTCTTAAAAGGGGTGGTTCGGCTCTAGAAATTTTCAACAAAATATATTTTTTATCAAATTTAATATTAAAAAAAATTAAATTTTAAATTCTTCAGTCTATCTTCTCTTCCAGTTAGCTCCTTCTCTCCACTTGCCTCTACCTGTCCGCTTGTCTCTGCCTGTCTGCTCGATTCTATCTGCTCGATTCTATCTCTCTGCTATTCTGTACCTATCTGCTAATCTCTACCTGTGTGTGCTGTTCGTGTTACCTGTCTCTTATGTATGTATCTGTCCTGCCTCTGCCTCTCCTGCTTCTACCTGTCTTTGCTTCTTTCTTTAAATATTATTTCTAATTAAAATTCCTATGTACCTTTTATTTTATTTATTTCTTCTATCTGGTTTAACAATTCTCCAACTCTAACATCATTAATGTCTCTAATTTAATTTAACATAACATTCCAAATATCCTCCCTCTGACAGTTTTTATTCCCGCTGACAATCCAATTTTCTATCTCACATTTTCTCATAGCCCTCAGAAAGTCTAGATACCGCTTGGCGTATACTGTCAATACAAAAAATGACCCCATTCAAGCTTGTCGCCATGTTAGGTAAATTTATGTTTTGGCTACACTGATTTTTAGTTTGTGTGTTCTGTAATACGTGAACACCGATAATCTGCACTTTGTTATTAGTTATAAGTGAGTGAGACGCACAATTTCTAATTTCAAATTAAGAACAAAACTTTGACAAACCTATTTGATTTTCCTAGATCTGTTCAGACAGGACCGGTTTTATAAAATTTCTCGTTCTTGAAATGTTATTTTTACATGGTTATATATTATTGGATAAGTGGTTTGTGTACATATTGCTATGAGAATTATAGAGAAATTCAGTGAGATTTATGTAATATAATTCAAATTACAAGTAAACCATCTGTTCCTGTTTGGCAATATGGAGAAAATACCTACTTCAATGTCAAATGTACTATTTAAAAGAATGTGATTGTTAACCAGTCATTTATTTATATTATATTATGAAAATAAAAACTCGAATTTTTTAACTAGGGAAAGATATACTTACATCGGTAACAAGGTATTTTTAGAAAAACTAATAGATTACTCCTATTCCTATAGTTTATTTGAAAATGAATAATAGCAAAATTATATAAAAATATGGACCTTTGCCATAAAAACTGTGCTACCAAGCATTTTCAAATAAACTATAATGATAATTTGATTTAATAGAGCGAGTATAAGATCTCACCTGTTAGAGAAATTGGGGCATAGGGAAGAGATTATGAAGCAGGTAAGCGAAGTCATTGCAAAAGATAAATATATAGAAGTTATTTTAAAAATTTGATAAAAAACTAGTGGAACAAGAATTGGAGTTGTCGGTATCGGAGATCCAATCAGCAGAAAGTAAAAAAAAAACTTTGGGAATGTTGGAAAAGGGCACAGCAATAGGCCCAAAATAATTCCTTGGTTTTTTAATAAATATAATCTGAGATGCAAAAAATACTGCTAGAGTGGAGAAGCAGTATTGTTCCAATGTAGAAAACCCAGGGACATACAGCAGTGCACTAACCATAGGCGAATAGTCACTAAATTATACAAGAGTCCCATCTCGATTTTATTTTTAAATATTTTTGAGAATACCTATTATTATTTGTTACATTGTATCAAGGTAGTAATAGTGGACATTTTCCGAATAAAAAAAAGTAAAAAAGAAGTAACGATCGACACGTTTTTCTGACTATTGGTCTTCATCAGTACGGTGCAGTCAAGTTCAAAGGATCATGGAACTTGTGTTGGAAAAATTGTACAATAGGTCACTAACAAGGAGCCAATAACACATTTGCCGTTCCAGCTAGTATCCCCAAATTTTCTGGGCTTATACTAAAGTCACAAAATGATTCAATGGTCTTCCTATGGCTATCAGTTATTCTTTCATAACATTTTTTGGTATGCTACAACAAAACATACAAATTATTTGATTTTGTAAATACACAAATATTTGTGAAAACTTACACATGAAATGTTATTCCTTCTACCGTTAGATGCATTGTTACATTCACGTACAAAACAAAAAGAGATTTTGAAAATCCTGTAAAAATTTAACACCAAACCACAAATGTTTTTTATTAAAATAAAACACTAAACGACTAAACTAAAAAATAATGTTTTAAATAAAACCTTTACTAGAAGAACAAAATAAACAACACAACAGATAATAAAATCGATTATATACGTCGAACGCCGATCTTACGCTTATTACTAAACTTGTGCCGATTCTGTCTTGTCAGAAGTGCCAACTTAAAATTTATTGACATTTATTTATCATGGCGCCCATCATATGGGGGGTCAAAATGTTTTTACGATGCGGTATCTAGACCTTCTGAGGGCTATGCATTTTCTTCATAAAATCAACAAAAACCCCGACATTTTGATTTTCACTTAAATTTTGATTTCAAGACACTTCACCACCCCAGTATCGTTTAATTTAGATAATAAATTTGATGACGTCAGGAATTTCTATATCAGTATATAATCACCCAGTATGTTACAGAAAAAAGATATTTATGAAAAAATTTTGTTTTTTTTTTGGCATAGACTCTTGTCATACAGCCAGTCACAAAATGGAAGAGTTAAATCATTAAATATTTCATTTCAAATAACAAAAGGATTAAACGGGGACACTCGCTTTTCGCCTAGGGACCCATCAAGGCATTATAAAAAAACACTAGGTCGCGGTAAGGGGGTAAAATAAAACAATAGGAAAGAAAACAAAGGTAACGAGTCTAAGAGAATTTAGTTGGATATGAGAATATAGTTTATTTCAACTTATTGCAAAAAATTAAAAAAAAAGCATCAAAAAATGTTTCCGTTAATACTGGATGATTCCATATAATTTTGGGTACATTTCTTATTGCTCCTTTTACGGTATCACTTACATCACGAATCTCAGAACTATCATAATTTTGTAAGACACGTCTTTCCCAATACAATTGTTTTGGTCTGCACTAAAATAAATAGTTGATAAAATTAAAACAGTTATTATTTATTTTAGTTTAAATTGATGTCAATTACGTGTTTTCTTTTTTCCCACTTTTCATTTATCATCAAAATAATAAATAGGTGTGCGCTAGGCTATAGTAGGGGCAGAAGTTGGAAAGGCTTTTGATAGATAAAGAGGGGATAAACGTCATACCACGTCGACGACATCGAGAATTTCGCGGTAATGTTAACTGCCAGTGTCGTTTCATAGAATAAGTAATTTTAAATTGTAACCGGTGGAACCGGACAATCGCATGTATTTATGGACTAAAAATCATTATTAAACAAGTATTATAATATCCCAAATCAAAATTCTACAAAATTTCAACAGCTATTCACAATTTATTAAACTATTTACCCTAAATTGTTATTAAATTATTTTGTACGCTAATGTATCGCGTCCACTTCGATTAGCTCCGCCTCAAAACTGTCAAATAAGTGGAAGAACTACCAAAAGTCTTTCCGACTTCTGTTCCTGCTATACAAAGGGTACCTATGGTTATTTTTTCTTACAGGAGATTTAAATTCATTTAGTTCTTACACTTTAGAGAGACTTCGAGAAACACCCAATATTCCAAGCTGGATGGGAGTCTGAAGTAATATAAGTAGGTACCTATCTGCTTTTAGAGGCTAGCAAAGGAATTATTGTAAATAAAAATAGTGACTTAGAAATATCTATTCAAAACTACTATCAATAAAAAAAAATAGTATATTATACACCAAGGGACTGAAGTGGTACTTTTCATCCCGATGCGAAAAGGGATAAAAAGACACTTCAATCCCGTGGTGTTTATACGCTATTTTGTGCACTTTAGGAAAATAAAAACTAAAAAAAAAAAATTATGAAAAATCACTTAAAGGTACACGGTACATTTTCGGTTGCATGGAATAAGTATGTCGTACTTCCCTATAAAGTAAAAGTGCCATTTTGGTCCCTGAAAATGGGGACCTAAAGCATACTTTTAGTCCCTAAAGTGCATAAAATATATTTTTGGACGTTCTAGTATATTTTGTATGCACTTTTAAGTTTTTATTGTATTACATAAATACTTTTACAGAACTATATATCGTTATTATCAATAAATAATCTGTTGTTGAGATTATTTTAAGTTTTATTTAAGAGGAGTATTTACTTGGCTTTAGAGCAGAACATGCAAGGGTTTCGTAGTACCCCACTTTTAAAGTTTATTTTTGACATTCTGAAAGAAAAATATATGTGCGTGTAGGTAAAGGTTAAATCTATACTCCTCTGGGGACACTTTTTCAAAATTTGAAACTGTTTTTTCTATAAAAAATACAAAATCGACATTTTTTACCCATTTTCTCATTTTTTTTTTTTTTTAGAAAAAATCAAATTGAATTTGAGAAAGTAGTTCCAGAGAAACATAGATTTAACCTTTATCTACACGTACATATTTTTTTCTTTTAAAAATTGTCAAAAATAAGCTTTAAAAATGGGGTACTATGAAACCCTTACATTGCAAGATTTTTCTCTGGAAAAATTATGTAAAGGCTCAACCCGTACTCGCTGGAGTCACTTTAAAATTCTTTTGAAAAAAAATCTAAGAAGATGTCTTTCTAACGAAAAGAAATACAAATAAAAATGTTGGAAGGGAACAATATATTTAATTTTTACCTACAGGAGCATTTATTTTTCTTTCAATAAAAAAATACGTTAAAATCTTTTTCGTCTAGAGTGATAAACAGTACGCAAGTAATTTGAATTTTGTTTTATGTCTGTACACTTGTGTCATTTTTTACATACAGTAATTTCGCTCAATTATTTTAAATTAATTTTATAATTTATTTATTAAAAAAATATATTCGAAATTAAAAGGTATACAGTGAGATGTGATATATAAATTTTATATTGCAGGGGGTTTTTTTTAATGAATACATCTTCGAGTTAAGAATAATTAATTCCAGCATGTTAACGACTCTTTCATCTGTTAAAGTAATGTATATTTTTTCGAAGTAAATCATTTTCTTGCTTTCGCGCGTGGCTTTGATCTGTCCCACTCTTTGATACACGTTGCAAAAGAGGATTTTCTAAAAAGTTGCCAATGTCTATAGATGAGAAAAAAATTAATGTTACATGTAAGGAATTGTTTAGAAATCTTCTAAATAATACTCAGAATAAATATTTTTATTAGATCAAGTTTAATACAATGACAATTCTCATCACACGTCCATCTAATCTATTTCCCTGGATACCGCTATAAGACATCGTATACAGGATGATCTATTACAACACGCCCCCTCCTTCAAAAATTCATCACTCCTGTGATGATATACTCTTAGGTTTGATGCATGGGCAACTTCTTCCTTTTGGTCATTTACGTAGTGGACATAAGTTAAAACTCCTTCCATGTACTTTGTACCTATGACTTCTAAGGGTCCCTTTACGACAAAATTTTTCCCTATTTTTTGACTTCTTACTAAAATAAAATCATTCACTTTCACGTTCGGGGGAAGGATTTTCTTATTTTTATTTGCTTGTTTCTGAATGTTTTTTTTATATTTTAATTGTTCTTCTAAAGATCTAGGAAATTCTTTTAGGGGTCCATTTATATTAAATTTTTTATCAGCATTTAGGATTGTACTCTTTCCAAACAATTTGTAATTAGGTGAACATCCCAGGAATTCATTATGGGAATAATTGTGGTGTCGCACGGCGGCTTCAAGGCATTTTTTTCAACCACCCCTAAAATCCTTATAACAATGCATGTATGTTTTTATTTTCTCTAACAGTTCGTTCCGCTAATCCGTTTCCAGCCGGATGGTAAGGAGAAGTATGGACTAGTTCTATCCCCTTCAATACAGCCCATTCTTTAAATGTTCCAGATGTTAGAGCAGGTGCACAGTCTGTGACGACTGTTTTCATATCATTTAGGAAAGAAAGTTTACTAAAATAGCTTTTCAAAGCATCACCACTTTCTTTTATTGCCTTGGCACTTACATGTCTAGTGGCTTCATCTATCAGAATAATAAATGATTTTGTAGTTCTGTTTAAATCTGATTTTTTTTCTATCTCCGCAAAGTCAATATGAACCTTTTCATAGGGATTCTGCGAACAGGATGTTAGATGTGTATAATTTGGTTTGGGATAATATTTAAATTTTACTTTTTGACATATTTCACAAGTTTTTATGTAGTATTTAATATCCTTACTTAATCCTTTCCAAACAAACCGCTTACTTATCTTATAGTATGTTTTGTAATATCCATCATGGCCTCCAGAATCAGGATCATCGTGGTAAGATTGTAAAATGTCTGTCTTTATATCTGCATTCTTTACAAAAAACCTTCCATCCTCTTGTTTTTCCAAATCGTGTATATTCAAATTACACCAAAATGTTTCCTTCACCTTTTCAGGAAAATCCACGCACAATCTGGAAATTGCATCACTGTCTTCTAGTTCTTTGCAGGGTTTGTGGTTCACTATCATATCGAAACTGCTTAAAAATATTTGCCATCGGGCTAACCTATCTCTTAAAGCACCTGTTGACAAAATATATTTTAATGCTCGATGATCAGTATGTACTACAAATTTTCTTGATTCCAACAAAGTTCTAAAATGTTTTACTGCTTTTACAACCGCAAGACATTCTTTTTCTGTAACAGAATAATTTTGTTCATGTTTATTAAAGGTGTAGGAATAGTAGGACATTACTCTAAGTTGTTTATTTTTTATCTGTTCCTCATCTCTTTGGTATAGAATAGCCCCACAACCAAAATAAGAACTATCAGTACTAAGCTCAAATTTTAACCTAGGATCTGGTATTCTTAGAATTGGTTCTGATGTTATCAATTCTATCAATGTTATAAAAGATTTTTCACATTCATCAGTCCAAATAAATTTCGTATTTTTACATTTTAATCTGTCAAGTGGTCGTACAATTTTCGCATAGTCTTTTATAAAATGCCTAAAATGGTTTGTTAATCCAATAAAACACTGCAAAGATTTTAAATCATAGGGTTTTTTCATATATTTTTTACCTTTTCAATAGATTCATTTTTCATCTTCTTGATATCACCATCAATTTCCCTACCAAGAAACACAATTTTGGGAACACAAAATTTACATTTCGTTAGATTTATTTTAAAGTTGTATCTATTAAGTTTTTCCATAACTTCTGTCGAAAGCTTAGCACACTCGTCATAAGTGAAACCTCCACACATTATGTCATCGATGAAGACTACTACATTCTTATCGAGTAGTTCACCTAAAGCTTCCTGCATTATTCTTTGAAAATGTGCACTTGAGTTTTTCCATCCAAAAGGAAGCCTTGTGAATTCATAATGCCCATCTTCTGTTACAAACGCCGTATACTTCTGCGTTAATTTAGATATACTTATATTCCAAAAACCATCCTTCAGATCAAATTTTGAGAAAAATTTACATCCACCGAATTTTTGAATGATTTCATCACCGATTGGAAATGGGAATGGATCTAATTCAGTTTCCTTATTAATTTTCCTATAATCAATACACAGGCGAAAATCCCCATTAGATTTTGTGTTCAAAACACATGGAGAAGCAAAAGGAGATATTGACTTTGTAATTATTTTGTTTTTAAGCAACTCATTAACCTTATTTTTTATCCATGTTCTTTTGTTTTCTGAATATCGATAAGGTTTCAGCTTAATAATTTTTGCATTTTCTTTTAAATTAAAATCTATCTCAAAGATTGATGGTTTCGCATCATTATATTTTAGCAAATTCGGAAATCTTTTGGATATATTATCTTCTGTAAATTCAATTTCTTTTTCTAAGTTCAAATTCAGTTTATATATTTTCAATTTATTTAGTAAATGGCGTCCTAGAAGTATGTCAAAATTCAAATCTTTCACTACTGCGGCCATAAAAGTTGTGGGCAGTTTATTGATTTCAATAGTTACTTCAGCACTAAAAAAACATTTGGTTATTCCAGCTAAGCTCCTTATGCAAATATTTACTTCATGAATAGGAAATTTGTTTTTATTAACTAATTCCTCATCTATCAGATTAATATCTGATCCAGTATCAAAAAGTACTTTCACTTTTTGGCCATTTAAAAATAAATACTCAAAATTATCTCCACTTGTTAGTGAATAACTAGAATACATCTCAATATTATTTATTTGATCTTCAAATTCAACAGTACTAGAATTAAACACATTTTTAGTTTCACATTTAATGTCTTTTTTATTGGTACTTATTGGCTGACCTTGCATTTGAAAATCTCTTCTTGGCCACTGTTTATCAGGATATTCACCAATCATTAAGGATTTTAGCAGCTGAAGAAGTTCTTCTTTGGAGTTGATGATTTTTCCTCTTAACTGTTTCTGAACATTAACTGGCAGACCCAGAATTATCATTGCCACTAATGAAAGTTCAGAAATGTTATTATCTGCCCATTTAATTAATTTCTGTTTTTCGTAAAAGTATTCCAGGATATTACTATTATAATATTTATAATTCAAAGCTTTCTCCCATTTTAAAACAACATTTTCATCAAATATCTTGATAAAACTAAGTTTCCAATTTACCCATGTATATTGATTTAGTATACTATCTTGGATTTTATCTTCGTACCATTTTAATGCAATGCCTTTTAACTGATTTCTCAAATTAAAAATTTTCTCATTATCAGTAATCCATTTATTATATGAACAGATATATTCATACGAACTGAGCCAAGAAGAAGGATTCTCACCTTGACCGTCGTATTGAGAAATTTTTATGGGATCTGCTTTAGTTGAAGTGGCAAACGTCATCCATTTTGTCATTAGCTGATCCAACTCATTTTTTCCAAAAATAATGTTGTCTTGGGTACCTTCATCTCCTTTTTCATAGTTGATCTGGATAATTGGTTCGTTTTGCTCTGACTGCGCCATATTGTAAGGAATTGTTTAGAAATCTTCTAAATAATACTCAGAATAAATATTTTTATTAGATCAAGTTTAATACAATGACAATTCTCATCACACGTCCATCTAATCTATTTCCCTGGATACCGCTATAAGACATCGTATACAGGATGATCTATTACATTACACGAGGTCAAGCTGATTGTGCATTGTGGCACAATGAAAAACAAAAACGCGTCACTACTT